GACATCACCGAGATGGCAGCAAACCCTTGGTTTCCAAACATCCCTCTCACCAGCTCTACCCACCCACAGCTGGAGGTCTCTGTCCCATACCTCAGGCCACCCATATGTGGGGAAATAAGCTGGGGGGAGTAGGGAATCCCATTTCCCAAGGCAATCAGTAAGACTGGAAGTGTTTTGTGTGATTACACACTTGTTTTATGCAATTATGGCAATTACACCCCTTCACCTTCCAGGCAGAAGGTTGGTGGGCAAAGAGGGGCCTCCTCTCTAAAACAGCATCTGATTTCACAGGTTTTTATTCTGCCTTCGAGGAACCAGGATGCTTGATGTGGGGTTGGGGTGTCTTTTCCCCTCATTTTCTTTTCATTGACTGGATTGCCAAAGGCAAACAGCTCTAGGGGAGCTGGCTGAGAAAGATCCTGGCCTAGATCTAGTGTTTCACACGTCCCTTGAAGCTGCTAATGTGGGTAGCAGAACATCAAGCAGACAGAAAATTGGCATTTTTCTTCCCTACTCCATCTTCTCCTTTCTGTGTTTTCCCTTGCTTCACCAGCATCACCCTTCCCTATGCAGACACAGAGAAGGTGAGGATAATCAGGCAATTTTCCATCTCCAGTCAAAACGGCAGCTTTCCCTTTGGTTACACATTCCAAATAACACGAAGATTGCTCAGTTTCCTTTGAATGCTCTACAAAAAACAACTGCCATTTCCCATCTGTGGCTGCTGGCTTCCTCCCTGCCCATTATCTTCACCCGAGGCCCATCCAGGCACGTTTGGAAAAGCATTAACCGATACTCATCCGACATGGAGCTGCTCTTCCCATTTCTTTCGCTGTCTGACCAGCCCCTGGGGACAGCGCTGAGGGGGATTTGGGGCTGCTGTGGTGTTTCTGCTTCTCTGGCAGCCCACTATTGCCATTCAGCTGCTCCATCACTCGTGCTCTTTCCAACCTGATCCTGAGCACATACACATCTTGCTGAGGAGCCAACACAGGAACAGCAATGAATTGTAGTAAAACGCAGTATGTGAGGATGCAATTTTGTCCTCACTTTCAAAATAGCCACAAAGCTTGCATGAGATCCAGAATTTTGCTTGCATTCTGGTTAATAAATTAAAAAAAAAAAAAAACAGTCACCACAGTCCATCATCCATCACTCCTTCCTTCAAGTGTCACACTGAGGTGCTCAGCACCTTTCACCATAATGGGAGCAGATCTGCTGAAAAAAATCAATTATATCTGACACACATGGGTAGATCTGTGAGTGCAATTCAAGCCCACGAGCCCCATCCAATGCCTTATTGAATGGGTAGGATCACTTGTTAAGCTTGCATTCGGCTGCCAGCACTGCCCATTCCCAAATTTCATGGTATCCAAGAGCCAAGAGCTGGATGAGACCACCTCACCCCTTCCTACTTCTGTTAGTGAACTTCAAAAATCACAAGAAAACAGCATAATGCATGAGGGTGTGTGTGTGACGTCCCTTAGGGAAGGGGGAAAATCGTCCAAACAGTGAAATAAAGGCAGGTTGGCACTGACAGCGCGCTTACATGCTCCACCAGCTGCCAAACTGAGAAGAAGCAATATTCCCAGCGCAGCAAGGCACAGCTCTCAACTCTCTCTTCCAAGTTAAAATCTTTAAGGAAGCAAATAATTTACAGGACATCTGTGACGCTAAACCCACACCAAAATCTGAGTAAACAGCAGCGCAAGCCAGGCCTGCCTTGTTATCAGCTCTGCCGAAAGCACTGTTTATTAGCACTCTAACTAGCTGGTGGCAACGTCCCTGGAACTGATTAAAAACCTGGAGGAAAAAGAGGAGGGAAAATGGCACTATGCTGTGCAAGAAGGGTTTATTCTTTCCAGAAAAGATGGCACAAGCACGGAGGCTAATGTAGCCAGTAATATTGCCTGCCACAAGCGCTCTTATTTCTTTGTATTCTCCTCCTGTCAGCTGAAGGAAATGGTTAATCAAAAGTCCCCACAACACTGGTGAGGAAAGATTTTTTTTAAGAAAATAAACTCAAGAGATGAAAACTGTTTCTCTGTGACAGTCAGAGGGCTTTTTATTATTTCCTAATATTTTCAGTCTGCACCCCGAGAGGAGGCAGATCGCAGCATCACAGCCCCACCACCTGCAGGTGTCCAGGAGGAGCAGCAGACGAGCAGGCTGAGGGGATGCTCTGCGATCCAGCCGGGGGAACCCTGTCTGCCAGAGAGGCCACGCAAAAGGGGATTGCCACCAGCCCCACAAGGCTTTCTCCAAAAGGGCTCTGAGGGGCTTAGTCTCACTCAGCCGCACTGAACCTCTTGCAAACTGTAAAGCAATAAGGAAGGGGAAAACCTGATTTGGAAGCAATTGTAAATGTTTTTCAGCCACTTCCCAGCCTCTCCAGGTAGGTTTTTACTTTTTTTTTTTTTTCCCAATTTAATCACCCGTTTGGTGTACAGAGAGCGGCACCTCGCGAGGGAGAGCCGAAGTGCTGCCGGCTCAGAGCTGCAGCCCCGCAGCAGGGGGGGCAAGGACGGGGCCAGAGCCCTTCATCCTATAATCATGTGGCAGCTGGGGGATAAAAGGGGATAAGTGTGACGCCGTGAAGGAATGACAGAAGGAGAGAGACTAACAAAAGGAGGGAGAAGAGTCAAAAGAGAAAGAAAAGTGGCAAAAAAAAGAAAAGTGGGTCTTTAAGGTCCCCTCCAGCCCAAGCCATTCTGCGATTGCACCTCGCTACGAGGGGATCGACAGCTGCCCCGGCTGCCCAAGGCCTGCACAAGTGGCCAGGGGACAGCCCCAGGCACTGTGCTTACCAGAAAAGCCATTATTGCAGTTGCAGAAGGCTTTGGGACAAGGTGAAGTTGGCCGCACCTACCAGCAGCAGCTGGAAGCAGTTTGGGTCTGTGCCCATTAACGTGGTTTAACACTCGCACACACCTGCCCTGCATGGCACAAGGTGCAAGTTCCAGGAGGAGGAGGGAGCCCCAGGGCAGCACTAAAACCCTTCAGCTGGAACAAAAACCTGACTGTGCCAGCCCTCGGACCCAGGCAGTGCTGCAGCGGGGCTGCTGTGCCTGAGCACCAGCAGCCAACTGGGTGGCCTCTCCCCCAGGAAGCTCCTTCAAGCCTCGCTGGAGCCATAATGATCAACCACCCCGGTTTTGTCACGCTTGCAAGCACATTTTCTGGTCCATGGGTTTGCTCTGCACCACCCCACCACCAGGCCAGGTCACTGAGCACCACTGTTTTACCTTGGGCAAGGGCTGCTCAGATGCTGGCAAAGCAGGAGGGCTCCTCCAGACACATCTCCCTATGCCCACGCACCCCGAGAAGCCTCTTGTTCCAGCCACAGGAACCAAAAATCCCCTTTCCCTCTGCCATCTTCACATGCCCTGGGCTCACTGTTCTCCTGGGGGGCACTGGCTGCTGTCCCATGCCCAGATAAGTGTGGGGAAATGGGCTCAGGCCCAGACCCTACCCTGCCAGGGTGGGGGCTGAAGGGGTTCTCACAGGCCTGTCCCTGTTTCTGCATGAGCTTCTACAAGCTGCTCAGTATTGTCTCCGGTCTGTCTAAGGTGCTGAAATCACCCCAAATACCCTTTTTTATTGTCACGCATGGCAATGGTGGGATTCATGCACGGCAATGGAGGGATTTGTCTTTTTCCTTTAAAGTCAGGCACGCTAAGCAGAGTGATGTTCTCACACCACATCAGGAATCAGCTCCTGACCTTGCCTTTCTCTGTAAATTGTCTTCCAGGCTCACAGCTAATGAAAGTCTATTACTGAGAGGCCACATAAATCCCCTAATATCCCTGGAACAAAGAGGGAAAATTAGAATTTCTTTCAGAGAAAGAAACCAGAATATGATGAATTCAGAAAGCCCAGCTGCTCTCTGGGAAAAAAATGACAGCAGTTGCTCCCAAACTGAAGTACCTACGTGTGAAGGGGAGAGTGGTTTGGTGGAAACAAATGAGGAAGAAAGTAGCTGGACGAGACCTGAGAGAGTCACTCAAATGGGAAAAACTGGGAGCAAAAAAAAACTTTCTGCATCTTGTCAGTGTGTCCTAGAATTTGTAATATTTTGTTTGATGCAATACAGAGAGGCAGAGGAATTTGCCATAAATATGTTTTGCAGGGCACGATATCTGTTTGAAGCACTGATGGCATATTCCACACCCCGTGTTTGTCACGACAAGCAGGGAGGGAGCTGCAAGTTCACCCCTGACCCCCTGCTCTTGGCTCTGCTGCTCGGGCAGCCCTTGGGTTGCGACAGCCGGCACCGGGCGCTTGCACAACCGCCGGGACAGGCAGCACGGGCAGGGCTGGACCCTGGACAGCCGGACAGAGGGCCGGGCGGTGGGAGCTGCCCGCAGCCCTGCCTCTGGGGCAGCCAACCGGGGCAGGAGGCTGAGCACACCCCCGGGCAAAGTCCAAGCCCGGCTCCGGCCACTGGAGGAAGGTGCCAGAAGGAGGTCGGCATGTGGTGGGGTGGTGTCTTGGGGCACTGAGGGACGGGTTTGGCCATCCCACTTGGGGTGGTGGCTCATGGTGACCTCATGGTGGCTCATGGTGGCCAGGGGAGGGTCAGGCTGGAAATGAGGGGACATTTCTCCTCAGAGTGGACAGGTTGCCCAAGGAGGTGGTGGCATCACCGTCCCTGGGGGTGTTCAAGGAGGGGTTGGACGTGGTGCTTGGGGACATGGCTCAGGGGGTGACAGTGGTGGTTGGTGGCTGGAACTGGCGATTTGGGGGACCATTTCCAACCCCACAGCGTGCAGGGCTATCATGGCGCCCACACGGCTGCGTGGGCGCGTTAGTGAGGGGCGGTGCGCGCCGCCGCCCCGCCTGCCTGCCCCGCCTGCCTGCCCCTGCCTTATACGGCGGCGCCGCGAGCCTGAGCTCCCCCGTGACGCGCGTGGCAGCGCCCCGCCCCGCCGACGTCAGCGCTGGGGCTCTCCGCCGAGCCCTGGGCCGGGCGCTACCACTCGGCGGGCCGGGGGGGGGAGGAAGGACGGGGTACCATGTACCAGGGCCCCGCGCGCTGCCTGTGCCCGCTGCTGCGCCGCGCCGCCACCGCCAGCACCGCGCCGCCACCGCCCCGCGCAGGTGGCACCGGGGAGGGGGGCAGCGGGGCGGGCACCGCGACCTTGCGGGGGGCCCGGCGGGCGCCTCACGGCTTCTCCTCCTCCTTAGGGTGCCCCATGGGGGGCGGCGGCAGCCGGCTGTACGGCGCGCTGGCACAGACGCTGAGCAGCACCAGCGGCAGCGGCACCAGCAGCGCCGCAGCCGCAGGCAGCGCCCCGGGAGCGCCGCGGGCAGCCCGAGGCGGAGCCGGAGCCCCTGGAGGCGCGGGAGCTGCTGGCCCAGTGCCGCCTGGTGCTGCGCCGCCGCCCGCCGCGCTGCCGCCGCCGCTTCGTGGACCTGCGGCAGGGAGCGGCCGGCGGCCCCCGCCCCATCCGCGTGATGCAGTGGAACATCCTCGCACAAGGTAAGGGGCCCAAATTCACCCCCCCCCCCCGGCCGGGCACCCCCTCAGCCCCCCTGCTAACCCCTTCCCACCCCCGCCCCTACTTGCAGCCCTCGGGGAAGGCAAGGACAACTTCGTGCAGTGCCCCATGGAGGCCCTGAAGTGGGAGGAGAGGAAGTGCCTCATCCTGGAGGAGATCCTGGCCTACCAGCCCGACATCCTCTGCCTGCAGGAGGTCGACCACTACTTCGACACCTTCCAGCCGCTGCTCAGCCGCCTGGGCTACCAGGGCACCTTCTTCCCCAAGCCGTGGTCGCCGTGCCTGGACGTGGAGCGGAACAACGGGCCCGACGGCTGCGCCCTCTTCTTCCTCAAGGACCGCTTCGAGCTGATCAACAGCGCCAACATCCGCCTCACCGCCATGAAGCTGAAGACCAACCAGGTGGCCATCGCCCAGACGCTGAAGTGCCACGAGACCGGCCGGCTCTTCTGCATCGCCGTCACACACCTGAAGGCCCGCACGGGCTGGGAGAGGTTCCGCTCGGCGCAGGGCTGTGACCTGCTCCAGAACCTGAAGAGCATCACCCAGGGGGCAAAGATCCCGCTGATCGTCTGCGGGGACTTCAACGCGGAGCCGACCGAGGAGGTCTACAGGGAGTTTTCCAACTCCAGCCTCAACTTGAACAGCGCGTACAAGCTGCTGAGCCCCGACGGGCAGTCGGAGCCACCGTACACCACCTGGAAGATCCGGCCCTCGGGAGAGTGCCGGCACACGCTGGATTATATCTGGTATTCCCAGCACGCCTTGAACGTGAACTCAGCCCTGGGCTTGCTGACTGAAGAGCAAATTGGGCCCAACAGGCTGCCCTCGTTCAATTACCCTTCAGATCACATGTCCCTGGTGTGTGACTTTAGTTTTAACCAAGACCCCGACAGACTCCTATAACTTGTTGGAATGCCACCCGGTATTGCAGTGTCTTAATTCACTACTGTTTTATTTTACTGAGACCTTTGGAAGCTGTTAAAGATGAGGAAGTACTGTTGACTAAGCATTCTCTCAGGCACTTGTTTGGAGTTACGCTTGCCCTTCAGAGCTTATTCATCTGTAGCCTCTGAGGGAGGAAGAGAGGAGTCTGTGTTCTCGACTGGTGGTGGTGGTGGTCTTGCTGTATTAGGGTGTGAAAACTGGAAGGGAAACGAGTTTTATCCTTTCACTAACCCCTGTGTCTAAGGATGTAATCCTCTAATGAATGCGGAGGCCTGAGTATTTAAATTAAAGCACTTGTGTTTGTAAAACAACTTGCCCTGGCAGCATGCTAATTTTGTTTATGTTAGGCTTGTGCCAGTACCAAAGGGAACAAGGCTCGACTTCTCAGTCAGATTCTCCGACCTCTCTCTGTTGCAGTACAAAGGAAGGTTAATGCAGTTCAGACATGAACAAATCTGAGAGCCTATTAGTGTAGTCTGCTAATTTTTACATGACTTAAGATAAAGATTGTATTCAAAGTGAATAGACAGCACAGTGTAAGGGAGGCCCCCTCGGGCAGGAGCAAGTGAGGAGGCAGAGGCTCACTGCTGGGTGTCACACAGTGATAGCCTCGCCTGCCCAAACGAGCACGCGTGTGTCCCTGACACACACAGGGCCTGTAGCTAAACACAGTAACTGGCACCTTTGTCCCTTCGGTACTTCCCTCCAGAGGGCATGCCTAACCACAGAGTATTTTCTCATCTGCTTCAAGCATTACTTTTCTAAATGGTTTAAAGTTGTCTCGTTAACTTTGCAGTTTCAGTAAAGGGCCAATCTCTGTGTTGAAAGACTTCTTTTATTTATCTTCAGAATCTAAGGCTACACTGGAACCTTATTAGAAGATAAAACCTATTTATTGAGGGAATTTGGTGATCCTGTACCTGACCTGAAATCATACAGCGGCAGCCTTCAGGAGCACGCACAGATCCTTTCTCTGGCCCAGTGCCCAGGCCGTGACAGAGGTGGGGTTGTGTGGTAACTCTTGTGCGTGGCGTGGTGCTCAGTGGTATGATGTGGGTATTGCGTAGATGGATTGCAAATATGCCTCTGTGCCAGAAAAGGGCAGAAAAGGTAGAAGAGAGACCAATAGCTGGAGTTGGGCTGACGCTTAGATAGCTTGGAGAGACAAGGCAGAGCAAATAAAGCGGTACTTCCATGTAAAGTAAAGACTTAAATGTTCTGGGTGTTTGTTAATAAAATTCCATGGAAAAAAAGTAGTGTCTCTACTGCCATCTTTTTTCACTTCCCTATCATAAATGGGTGATCTCAACTGGTGACTGTCCTAGCTTCAAATTAGTAGCAATGCCACAGTTTCCAGACCTACTTCCCTAACCCTGCGGTCCTAATCTTGCAAATTGCCTCAACTGCTCTGACTTCATGGCAAGTGGTATTTCTCAAGCTCACATTCCCGAACATCACAGCAAGCCTGGAGGGAAAGGTGTTACCTGTACAAAAGTTAAGCTGATTTCTCCCCGAGCTAATGATGAAGTCTAGACCTTACATTACTGCAAGTATTCCTCTTCCAACAGTTGTCTGCAGCCACAACCCCTGCCAGCACCCATCTCAGAGCTGCACAGCAGGGTGCAAGGATTCCTCCCTGAGGGCACTGCCAAGCACAGCACAGCTGACTCCTCGCACCAGGCAGCTCTGTTTGTCATTTAACTTTTAAAACATCACCTGAAGAGCAAGAAAAGACAGGTGACTGCTTTCCACAACCCATAAGTTACTATATTTGTGTTCCATACTAATCTGAAAAATATAAAAACACCCCACTTAGGCAAACTCCTCAAGTGCTGTGCTGCACAGCTGTAACACAGGGGCTATGCTGCTAACCCTGGGCAGGATGAAGGCGATGACTGCAGATTCATGATTGCAGATTTTGTTGAACACTGTTAAGGGGCTGCTCTGGGGGAGATAATGGACCAGAGGTTCAGATTCCAGTGTTAGCAACCAGATTATGCAGCGCCACCTTTCAAAAACAAACCCAACAAAAAAGCCCCTAATTTCTATTTTTCCTTTGTGTACCAGCCCAAGCCAAGCTGCAGCACCGACACCGCTCCCATCGCCACTCCCAGAGGGGGATAGAGGTATTTGGGTGGTTCTTACACCACTTTACTCAGACCCTGCTTTTAAACAGGAATTGTGTGGGGACAAACAGCGTGATTTCTAGGATCACTGCAGAGCCTTTCTGAAGTAAAACAGGCTGGGACTCTTATTTCACCCCAGATGCTCGACATTAAGTGTCCCTGCTTCATGTCCTTACAGGGCAATTTTGAAGGGATACAGGGAGGGGGGATGTGAAAATCACACCTCCCTACTAGAACACAGCAGTGGACGCTTTCCGATACATTTTAAGGAAAGGCAGACAAGACTCAGAAATTAACTGGTGATTTCCCGGTCAGTTTCAGCCTTTTTCCAGTACTTGCTATAAAATATGCTCTTGCAAATGGACTGTTTTGGAAAGCTTAAGTGAAATATTGCCCTTGCTTTTGTTTTACTCACCAAGAGGCAGGCCTGCAGCAGTGCAATGATTTTGCCTGCTATAAATATCAGTACAGTAAATATTTTTCACAGGAAGGAGGAGGAAGGTTTTTAATTATTTTTTTTTCTGTGCAACAGTATGACTCTTACAATAAAAATTTCTTCAAAGCCCTTCTTGTAGCTGCCTGCCTTATAAGCACACCAAGGCTAGAAGTCTCAACAGATCCCTTGCTCTAGTCTTGAATAGAAGCTGCATTGGCTTTAGCAGTGGTGATTTTTCCCCTGCCCTCAAGCTAGCCGAGGGAAGCAGTGACCCACTTCGTTAATTTGCTGAAAGGCTGAAGCTGCTGCAAGCTTATTAAACAGCTAGCTGCCTTGGATAACAATTAGATCAGAAGTAGATACTGTCACTTGCACCTTTCCCATTTAATAAGCTTAATACCTACTATTTGATGGCTCTACAAGGCAGAAATTGAATTTAGCTTGTTCTGGCTGTGAGCACCTTCCTACACAACCAAGATCCCCACTGCATGTGTCATGGCACAAGCTGAGGCTTCAGGCACCCTGCCACTTCCCCACCGACTACCTGACCACCTCTGGCTCACTGATGCGTGATCGGCTCTGACATAATTCTCCAAAGTCCAAAAATTGATTAAATCAATTAGCGGAGGACCCCTAAGCCTTCCCCAGCAGCAAGCTTTACTCAGCTCACGGGAGTTGTGCCAAGGCACAGAACCCTTCACTGAAGCACTCAACCTGAGATGCTAGCAGAAGTTTTTGCCAAAAAAAAAGAATTTTGGTTACAGGTAGGAACCTTGCTCTTCTGCAGCTCAGCTGTAGAAATCCTCAGGGAGAGGCTGAATGCCTCCTGTAAGCACGTCTCATTACCAAGATGACACAATTCTGGAGAATAACTCATCTCAGATTAATTTAGAGGAACCACACGCACACACACAGACAAGCAACGCTTGCCTGCACCTAAGCAAACCCTTTGAAATCCCTGCCTGTGAAAGGCTGTCTGTATTTATATCTAACAGCTAAATATTAAAAAAGAGAGAGGGGTACAGAGGCATTAAGTTAACAAAAAGGGGCTCTGCTGTCTGAAGCCTGGCTGAGCTTCTCCATCTCAGTTACAACACATCTTCCTATAGATCCAGGTTCCCACAGCACCTAACCCATCTGATAAACATCCCCAGGCAGCTGGTACACAGTGTGCTGCTCACTGCGTGGCCAGGGGAGAGAGCCAAAGCACCGCCACCAGGCACAACAGGGGCAGTAGCTGCAGCGCCTCGGGGCACGGCCGCGGGCAAGCAGCAGAGAGCTGCTCCTCCATTCCTTTCATTCCTGCCATTACACCACAAAGTCCTGGATCTAACTTAAGAGAAGGAGGTCGTCAGCTGGAAATCCTTTCCAGGAAGGCACTTTGGCCCCAGCTGACCTCCAGCGCATCTAAATTAGGTGTGGGAAAGGTCTTAACTGCAAATACTCCGGCAATATACATTTCATGCGGTGAGATACTGCGTCTTTTACACAAGATCAAATAACAGCCGTTTAAAAAAGGGTTTCTTACAGAAAAGAGAAACGTGGGTTTAAAATACTATCGATTTTCTCCGTGTTGTCATCTAGATCCTATCTGTTCTACCTCCACAGTATGCCTGATTGCCTGCCTGCCTCTCTTTGTACTGCTCCGTTTCCCTTTGTCCAGAAGAGTTGCCTCACAAACTTCCCAATGAGCCTACCCATTGCCCAGCTTCCCTTCTGCTTCCCTTTCCAACCTACCTCTTCCTTGGCAGCACAAATCCTCTTCCTTCTTGTACACTTCCTCCTGTGAAAGTCTTTGCCCTCTACTCCCAGGCTCGGAAATACAGTTCATGTGTAACCACCTCTGCTTCTTTGGATTAACTGCTGGTGGAAGGGACTGCTGCCACCTACACCAAACTCATTTTCCTGCTTCAGGTTGTTCGTTCATTTGTTCTTAAACTCTGCTTCCCTACTTAGAGTACAAAAAAAATCCTTTCTTCATAGGCTTCTACGTTCCCCACAGGCTGGTTTGGCTGTATGGAGCTATCCCCACATTTCATTCCAAGGGAAGAATGGGGCTTACTGCTAGGACTCTGCAGGTAACTTCCTCCTTCTGCATTAAAAGCTAACATGAAAAAATGAACTCTAGTGCAACTATTTAACACCGGCCCCCTTTATCACTACTCAAGACCTCAGTTCTGGATTTCTGTTAAAACTACTCCTCCAGGCATGAAGTACCTACACGGTCACTTAGCCTTTTATGACTTTGAGATGACCTGCGTGCCTGCTGCAAAGGCTTTCCAGAGCATCTCGCTAGGAACTTGGGGTTCCTCTGGGCACCTGGGTACCCACAAGGTGAAGCGACGCTTCTGTGTTGTTTGCTGTCATACCCCCACGTGGATCCTCATGAAAACAGGGCAAGCTGCCATGCACCTATTTTAAGGAATGCTCTTGCGCATGGGCTGTAACTACCGAGTAATTCACGAACTGCGTGTTCTCACCCGAACCTACCCTGCAGTGATGTATCTTGATACCCACAGCCTAAGTGCAACTATAAATGTAAACCCTATTTAGATCATTACTTCATTCAGAGAGGAAAAAAATATTATCTAAAATCATTTACGTGTGCAGAAGCTGAAATATTTACAGTTGGAGATGTCAAAGATAACTGCATCAAAAGAAGCAGCAGTGCAACTTCCTATTTCTCTTTCCTTACAGTTTCTACCTACCGCTACTTTCTACTCGCCTCAGTGAGATCAGAGAGATGAGCACACTCGAGTAGCTGGGTCTGCTCACTTCCACCTTGACTTTGCAGTGCAGCCTTAGGAAATTAAGGTGTAGCTGTAGGAATATTAAGTAGTTCACAGAGCTCTCGAAGTTATTGATTCTCAGAGTCATTTAAGCAAACCCTGTTTTCTTTGCATTAAAGCAACTGAGAGTGCACATAAAGTTACCACCTGTCAGCTGGAGGGCAGGAACTTCTAAAGCTACTGAAGTAGAAACTGCAAGTACTCATGTGATTAGCTACAACGCAAGAGCACTGAGTATGCTCACCCACCTAAAAAAGCACAGGAGAACTAGACCCCTGTCAGAAGTTACCTCACCAACTACTGCAAGCTTCTCAGATACTTCCGTGAAAAATATTTCAGTGTACTGTGTGGGAGAGCTGCTCAGCCATTCAGCGTATAGGAGTATTGGGGGGGTTCCAAATTTCCACGCTATGTCAGCTATCTTAGGCTGAATGCCTAGAAGATTTCAAATAAGCAGAAAAGAAGGTTAAGAGATGAAACCAAAATACTAAAAATAAAAAGCAGACCAAACAATTAAATTTCATTTCTATATTTCATTAAAACCTACTTGAATACACTTTGAAACAAGAGTACAACAAAATAGAATATACTTCAAATGTTGAATATACAAACTATTATAGTTCATTCTGAACACTGGTACTTCCCTCTTTAACTAAAAAAAAATTTACAGGTTTAGAACTACCTGACAAAAGCTCATGCTGGGTGTGACCTTTCAAGTGACAGAGTAGAGCTGAAACTGAAATGTATGCACAGATGTCAAGGCTAAGTGAGAGACACAGGCATATTACAGCAAAAGGCCAAAAGCCTGCTGCCATTTTGTCCACAATTAAGAAATTTAGACAGACTTTAACTACCATACAAAATATGTTACATGTAATTCTATAACAATACTGTGCTAGGTA